GGGAAAAAAAATTTGGAGATCCCTTGAGCCTCGGGGATTATTCGAGTTCGAGACAACAAATGTTATATAAATTTTATATAACGCTGAACAGGTAAGATGACACTATAAAGCAAACGAGGAACGTGAGAAACACAAAACAAAAGTTTATTGAGGCTATTACTTTAGGTTTCATAGGAACTAACAACTTTTCATGAAATATTTAACATCTTATGTAATGGAAGCTCAATATTTCTATTATTTATAACTTTATATATATATATATATATATATATATATATATATATATATATATATATATATATATATTCGTAATAATGAATTAGATATATTATCAAATTTGTGCACTGAAAACCTTAATGTACTAAATAAAATACAAAGAGCTACATTTGAGTCCTTTGTTATTTTAACTGTATTCTCTAGATGTTTTGTTAATTAAATCTTTCACCAAAGTGGTTAGCTTCCGAGTTTACAATGTACTGCTACTTGACATGTAATGACTAAAAAATATCCGTGAATGATACACAGTTCAATCTCAGTATCTTGGACATATGAAGTAAGAATACGGCAGAAATGCGAATTCAAAAAAATAATAATTGAGTAAAAAAAAAAAGTGGGATGGCGAATGGAAAGTTTTGTTGAGGACTAACACTAATTATTAACATTAATTAAATTTAATTAACGTTAAAATAACGTACGCAGAGATTGCATGCCTTCTATTTTCGGCAAACCTTTTGTATTATATTAAGCGTTATTTTCTTTCAAATAATTTAGGGGGGGCAACAGCTCTCCTGGGAAGCCATGCCTTGATCACTAGTGGATTCAGGGAGGACTGGGTGCTCTTCCCTCAGATGGAATTTTTTTTTTCGTGGGTCCATATTTGTTTCTCTGAGTGATTTTAGCTGAATACTTAAACAATTTCAATTTTTAAATTTCAATTCATGTACTACATTTACTAGAACGTAATCAAGTATCAAGAAGAATTATAAAAATTTGATCCCTAAAATTTTATTATTCTTGTAATTTCTTTTATTAAAATAAAAAAAAAAAAAACAGTTAACCCCTCGAAAAAAAAATCCTGTATCCGCAAAAGGCAGTGGCAACAAATCCTTCTCCTGCAATATGTTAGAAATAAAAACAATGAAGGGCCTTCATAAGTAAAACGAACAAAAAGAACTAAATTAAAAAAAAAAAATGCTTTTTATACATACGAATTATTATACCAAAAAATGTTTTCAAGTTAGTATATAAATTTTTCTATTTAATACATTTATTCCCTCTGAGGTCAAATACCTTTTACGGAAAATCACACCTCGCAAATCTCCTGGATATGACCTTCTAACCCCACAGATCCTTCGACAACTTCCATCTAAAGCCATCATATTTCTTACATATATATACAATTGCATCCTACGAACTACCCACTTCCCTCTTTTATGGAAACATTCCACCATCGTCCTCTTCTTGAAACCAGGCAAACCTTCCAACAATACAGCATCCTATAGACCAATTAGCCTACTCCCAATCCTCTCAAAAATTTTTGAAAAGATCCTACTGAAACGAATCCTACCTATAATTGAATCCTATAACCTTCCTACTCATCAATTCGGATTTCGTTCCCAACATTCCACTGTCCAGCAAGGACTCCGAGTTGTTGACCATATATCCTCAACCCTAGAAAGCAAGCAGTATTGCTCGGGTGCATTTCTGGACATAGCGCAAGCTTTTGACCGGGTATGGCACGCCGGATTACTCTTCAAGCTTAAAATCCATCTACCACAGTCCTTATACCTAGTACTCCTATCTTTCCGACCGCTCCCTCCGAGTTCGCTGTGGCACCGAATTCTCCGACTGTTACTCAATTGAGGCTGGCGTTCCTCAAGGCAGCGTCTTGGGCCCCATCCTTTACATTCTCTTTACCGCTGATATTCCTGTCCATCCCGATACCCTCCTGGCAACTTTCGCTGATGATACTGCTATCCTTTCTTCCAACTCAGATCCTGAAACAGCGTCCGCAAACTTACAAAGGCACCTCTTCCTGATTGAACACTGGTGTAAGAAATGGCGCATTAAGGTAAACGAATCTAAATGTAAACACATTACCTTCACCCTTCGGCGTAATATCTGCCCACCAGTTTATTTTAACTCCATCCAGCTTCCTTTCTCAGATACAGTCCGGTATCTTGGCTTTCTCTTAGACAGACGACTAACATGGAATCCACATACTCGACTTAAAAGACAGGAACTTAACAGACGATATGGCCAGCTATATAGACTACTGAATAGAAAATCTAAACTTTCTGGTGAAAACAAATTACTGATCTACAAGACAATACTGAAACCCATCTGGACTTACGGACTAGAACTATGGGGAACAGCCAAATTTTCTAATATCAAACGCATTCAATCCTTTCAGTCTAAAGTCCTCCGTACAATAGTCAATGCTCCCTTCTATGTAACCAATAAAACCCTACATCATGACCTTAATATCCCATTTATTCTTGATCTTATCCCAGCCAAATTTTCCAAATTTCACCAGAACCTTTCTCATCACCCAAATCTCGTTGTACAATCCCTATCAAGCACCACCCATCCCTACAATCCCCTTCGTAGGTTAAAGCGGCAGTGGCCACGAGACCTTTTGTAAATATGGATATTTTGGAGTTCTAGCAATGGCCAGATTCTCCACTCAAGTCATGAGTGTCTGTGGCTGTAGCGCTCTTACTCATTCTCCGCTGGTTTAAAATACCAGTGAAGTGGCTGAGGGAGAAGCGTAGGGATCTCCTAAGCCTCCCTTTTCCCTCCACATGTGGAGGGGATAGGATTGGTTCGGAGATCACCTGGCAAATTGTAAATAATGTATGTTTTATATAAGGTGTTTGTTTTACTTTCATTTCTATTTTTATTTACTTATGTGTATATATATATATTTTCTTTTTCTTTACTCTTTTGTTCTTTCTTCTTATTCTTTTGTTATTACTTTATTTATTTATATTTTTGTATATACGGTATGAATGCAATCTCTGAACTCTATTATAAGTGTCCTTAACTGTGACAAATTGTAATATTTCTGAATAAAGTGTTTTAATAAGTAAAAAAAAAATACATTTATTGAATTTCGACCTTTTATTTTACGTCGTTTTATCGAACATACTATAAAATGCTATATCGCACTGTATGTCACGTTAAGAACGCGTATCGTTTATTTCGCTGATGCGTAGACACGAAGATAGACTCGTACATAATCCAGAGAACAATACTCGCATTCTTTACAAAGAGGTTCTTGAGCTTTATTGCCATTATTATTCATCGACGGTTTAAGCTTATTATCCATGCCGTTGACTCGACCAACCACCTACGAGATCCCAATCACGTCATTATTTAAGTCATAAGTATTCATTACTTCAGTCATAAGAAGTGAGTCATTTAGTATTCTGACCTCCGGGGCCACACCACGAAATATTTTCATTGTACGCAATCTTTTACACTCATTTTTTTTCTCTCTCCTTATCAGAAATATCAGATGACGATACCGGCTGAAATAGAAGATGAACATCACAATAATTAATAATACATTACAAGTTCTGCCAAACCCACTGTAATCCTATCCTTAAGTCATGGAAATTGTCATTTTTTAATCAATTTTAGACCAATTAAAATTTGTATTTTCATTTCTTTGTGTTGATGTATTAACTGGTCTTAAATTGGTTGTCCTATAAATAACTGAATCGGTTTACAGTTGCAGAATCTCTACTAAAGGTCAAGTTTTGAGTGCTGATTATTCTTTGCGGTATTGGAAAACTTTTAAAAATTAAAATACTGCCACTTTAAAGGGTATTCAGCATATTTGTTTAAATATACCATCTTCACCAAAATTTACCTACTCGATTATTATACATAATTTAAATATTTTAAATAACGAATACATAAGTAGGCCGATAGAAAAAAATAAATAAACCTAATAATAAAATTTATAAATTAATAAAAATAGATTTAAATTTTACCTAGGACTCCACCTGGACAAACGTCTAACTTGAAATCCTCATACTAGACTGAAACGACAAGAAACCGCTCGACGTTTCCGACTACTTCAGCACTTCCTAGACAAACGCTCTTACCTATCAATTAATTACAAAAGACTCATATACATGACTACAGTAAGACCTATTTGGACTTACGGAGTTAAGCTTTGGGGCTCCACTAAGCCATCGAATTCCTCTCGTACCCAATCTTTACAATCCAATGGGTAGATTCTCTACAAGCCTTGTTATGTCATTTATTTATCTGTATTACATTTGCTGAATGTATATTAAATGTACACTTGTAAATTTCATAAATTATAATAAAATTTAAATTTATAAGGAATTAAACATTCTGTTCGTTTGTTTTGTTTCTACTCAATCAACTTTGAGTTACTAAGCTATAAAGTTAGATTATCCCACTAATAACCCAACTTTTGTAATAAGAATAAGAAATCTGAATTCATTCAATGTTGGCTTATTTTATGATCATGAAAAAGCTTTATAATATGGTAAACAATATGAAACCTGTTATTGAATAGAATAAGTTTCACATAATTATAATTCTGGTTTAATTTTGAGAATAAAATTTGCATGTTTTCATTGCCAGTTGTTTACTCTTAAACTTACAAGAGCAACTGTTCATATAAAAATAATTCTTTTAATACACGGTTTGACCTAAGCTGGTACATGCTTTTTATTAGTTTTTTATTTAATTATATATACATAAATAAATCTAAAATTTGATACAGAGATATTATGCTTATGTGCGAAGTCATATATCTTAATAAGTAAAAATTAATTTTATAAAATAACCACTAACTCACATTGAAATATAACGCAAAATATAAGTCATTTTCTAACAGTAAAACGTTATTTACTTAATAGTACATAAAGGTTTGTTTTTACACTTGTCGTTTAATTAATTAATTAATTAATAATATTGAAAAGCATTTGAAAATCTTTTATCATAAGGTTTGATCAATCAAGGACAATTAAAGATAATGTTCAAGTAATATCAGCCATATTGAGTAGTGATTTCGAACTAACGTTTTAATGTTGTCAAAATGGCAATTAGGCATAAAGTTACAATAGGTTTTTGTTTCATCCCCGATAAGTATCGTTGTTATTATGACGGTTAAAATGTCCGGATCAAGAAAAAATGCTTCGACAAGAACGCAGGTGAGTAATCTATATATATTCACATGTGTATATATATATATATATATATATATATATATATATATATATATATATATATATATATATATATATATATATATATATATTTATAGTATGCAGTTTACAGATTCTTGAATATTTCAAAATTTTTTTGTTGTCTTGAATATTTAGTGAAACGTTGAATATTTCTGTAACGTTGGCAAAATACTTGAAAAATGTGTTAATAATAGTAACCTTCTCACGTTCTCGCAAACTACTGACATATAACAACATTATCGCGTTATTTAGTTTTGTTTAATAATTTATTATAAGTATATAATTACCATTATTATTGGGTTGTTGTTTGAAGTTGGGTAGTTTATTTTCTTTCCTATCATTATGTAGTGATTACAGATTCGTTATTTTAATATATTTCGTTATTTTTCTTTATCTCAATATATCATGCTAAAATAAAAATTACCATAAATAATTATGTTCTAAAAAAAATGTCTGTCATACAGATCAGTACAGGTTCCTAAACATGTTCATAGTTTAAGCCTAAAAATGCGCATATTAAGCATACACTGCTCTAAGATTATAAATTTCAGGATTTAAATATCAACTTTGTTTCTCCCTAAAAAATTGTTTCCTCTAGATACTAGTCTTTTATAAACATTATATTTGACAGATAGCCACAGTATGGGCAAAATTTAGACCAACCGACGTTGCAATGTGGGAGTAAATATTCTTTCAGGAAGAAATATTCTTGATATTCATTTTTCGCACCTCATAAAAAACCCTAAATACAAAATATAACAAAAGTTAATCAGCCTATTTTACTGGAAGCAACTTTTTGGCTTTTTTAATTTAATATACATTTATCACAATAGTCGATATTTTTATCTTTTTCTGCACAAGAAAACAAATATAGTAACCTAAAAATCCGGGCAAAGCAAAAATAAAGAACATAATTTTTTTGAAATTTATAAAATATTTTATTCTTGGCTCCTAGGGCTCATTGGAAAGAACGCGGGGACAAGGGTTTAATATTTTTCGATGTAGCATCACCAAAAAAAATTTGGTTTAAATCGTTAACCCACAGACTGTATCGTCTCCTTGTTAGTGTTTTTTTTTTTCAAATTCCTTAAAAACGTTCTTAAACATTGGTTTATATTTGAATTCCCAAGTAATTCGAGTAATTGACTAATATTTATTTGTATGTGTATTTAAATCGCTTATCTGATATTTAGTATTATTACCAATAGAAGGGGATGATCTGGTTTCAGTTACTTAAAAACAATTTAAATAAAAAATCATTACGTCAATCTTTTTTTTTAATATTTTTTGTTGTGTTATGTAAAAAATAAATTATAAAATAAAATTAGAGATAATAGTTGGTATAAGTACTTATAAAAACACCTGAATATAAATGAGAGTTTTTTTAAGGTAGATATAATCGGTTAAATAGAAAAATCATTGGACGACTGGTGCTAACTTTTTATATCATTTAGTTGATCTATGGCTAATATGAGAATTATAATATCAAATAAACTACTTATTTTAAGGTGTGAATAAAAAACAGTATTTAAATGTAAATAAAATTAATGTTTTCATTTTTTTTTTTTACCTCTAAGAGCCTTACCAAAATACTGTAGTGCAAAAATACCAGTAATTGACTGGTTACCAGTATTTGACATCAGGCATATAACATGAACAAGGATCGTATGTGATCAAATTTCTTTACGCGTTCTCAAATACAATAAATCGAGTTATATTTCATATCTTTGCATTTTTTATAATTAAGGTATATAATATCATAATTTACGGTTGCAACCAAATTAAAACATAAATAAAAATGAAGATGAGATTCCAGATAATAATCGTATTTTCATTGACAATCCAATAATTAACTAACTAATTAATTAAATAACGATACTTTCAGCTATTGGCTTCTTGGAATATGAATCTTATTAATTTTCCGGATTTTTATTTCTTCTTGTTATCACTTTTAAACTTTACTCTCAGTTTTAATTTTTTTTTCATTTGAGTTTTATTATTATTATTTTTTAATAATTACGAGGTACCCCCTGGCAGCCTAACGGCGGACCAACCTCCATTTTACATATTATACCACTGTTCATTTAATTGTACCATTCGATCCTCAAATTGTATAACTGTGATTTGTATGTATTCTATATTTCATATTTATTATTTTTTATCAACATAGAATAAAAAATAAATAAAAACAATTCTTTAAAGATCTATATTATACATCGGGCCTTATTGCTAATTTGTAACCATAATAAGGAAGAAATAGTTCCAGGAATAAGAAGTGTGGTCCATTTCGCTTTGTATATGCAAAATAAAATATTACATAGTGGTCAACAAAAATATTTTTATATCATAGACTGATGCCAATTAATTATTATTCTCAAATACAACTATCTATTGTAATAAAGTTCCACATACAGTGAAATACTTACTGGAAGAATGTATTTGAAATTTGAAAACAGACAAAAAACAGGCTTAGCCAGAACATTAAAAGAAATCCTCCAAGATACTGAAGAAATAATCAATACATTGTTTGGATTTTTTAAGTTAATAGAGTATTATAAAGGAATATAAATCATAGTAAAACGCCAATGACCCTTGAGGGTAGAGGCGCGAAAGAGAGGGAAAAAAAATTATCTATTGCTATTTTTGTTTTGTATTAAATTTCGTATTACATTTAGTTGTTAAAAATAGTTTTTATTTTTTTTAAACATTAAACATATATATCAAACATATTCATATAAATCCTATTTCATGTAGTTGTAATAATGACTCTCATTTTTTAAATTTCTTTTTAGCTATCTTGTTGGATGTTTGGAGATTTTTCGCTGTTTATTTCAAGTTTTTACTATTTTTTTTTTTTATTGCATATTGCTTATTGTCTGGTATATTCTTCGGGGTTTGACTGCATAAAAATTCGGCTATGATACAGAGACCAGCAGATCTTAACTCAGCTTAAAATAATTTAAGCTGTACGACGAATTTTGTCAATTCCAATGTTAAAGTGGTATTGTTACCTAATGTTTTTTCAATTTCTCGAATGTTTTCTATTAATGATAATACGATAATTATCACCTATCAGATACTTAATGCCGTGACATTCTATTTTTCATAGATATCGGTCTTACCATACGATGACGTGTAGTTTTATTATATAATGATGTCAAAACGTGAAATCTGCTTTTCTTTTTTTTTCGCTTTTATATTGTATCGTTTTTTCATTTCTTCCTTTTTTCTCTTTACAAGTCCTCGTAAAAAAAATATAAGTATTTAAGCGTTTCTTATTACATAAAAAAAAAAAGTTGAAGAGAAACTGGTTGAGCTGTTCAGTCAAAGAAAGAACAATATAATCTTAGGTCTCCATCAGGGCTAATAAAAGACAATATAACATAAATATGATAAACTAGTAGACGGTAAAAGTAATAATTTGTAGGTAAAAGGTATAGTCTATTAACATACAAGTAAAGTAAACTTGACATTAATGAATATATGGAAAGGCAAATATATGAATATAAATAAAGTTTATATCTATTTATTTATAAATCATATATTCGCCTTCCCACATATTTATTAATGTTAAGTTTACTCTACCTCCATATCGTTAGACTATACCTTTTACCTACATGTTATTACTTTTGCCGTGTACTAGTTTATCATATTTGTATGTTAACTTGTCTTTTCTGAGCCCTGATAGAAGGTCTGCAATTTAGATTGAAATGTCGGGAAAAATAAAAAAGGAAATAATTTATTTATTTTTATTTTGTTCTTTGTTTGATTGAACGCTTCAACCAACTTCCCTTCAGTATATCTACAATTATTAATGTAGAGAAGAATAGTTGGGGTGGTCAGTCAAAAAGGAAGGCAAAAAAATAAATTTTAATATTTATTTTTTACTAAATATTTAATAATAAATATTAAAATATTTGTTAATATTAAAAAATAAATGTTAATATTTATTTTTTACTAAATATTTAATAATAAATATTAAATATTTTAATAAATATTAACATTTATTTTTTTGCCTTCCTTTTTGACTGACCACCCCAACTATTCTTCTCTTCATTATCCACGACAGTCAACCAATTACCAATTATGAATTATTAATGTAGTATCATAAAAAAATAAATGTTTCGATTTGTATGCTAAGTCAAATAAATTAAGCCCTGTATGAGTTGAATCTACCCTGAGACTTAGAGACCTGGTCTCAGCCAGTTACTGCACCCAGACCTAGCTAAGCAGCTCTATTTATTACCACGTAGCGATACTTTACTTCTGATTCTTGCAAGCAGTGAAAGTGGTCCCTGCAATTCAACCTGGGATTTCCGTATTACTTCAACAATAATAACTCAAACCTGCTCCGTTTTGCAGAATCACACTCGTTATGTAATTTGCTTTGCGAAGATTTTCAGTCTAGTGTGATAATTATCCGAGTCATTTTACGGCTAAAATTAATCTAAAGATATAATTTTATTCTTCATGCTTTATTATTTAATATTTAATAAAATATATTAATATTTCGATTCGACCAATACAGTTATTTAACTACTCCTAGATAAAAAAAAAAGTGCTTGGGCAATTACTTATAAAACGATAAATATTACTTCTGTATTTAAATATACTTCTGCATACTCGTATGTACATACAGAGTGTCCTGTAAGCAGATGGAAATTTTTTTTGGAGTGATAGTAGACCTTAAGAGCTTCAAAAATGTTCATATAAACAATGAAATTATCAGTAGAAAAGTAGAAAATCCAAGTATTGTGTTTCTTTAAGGAAGTAATGTTTCTGGTTGAATAGGAAGTGATAACTAAAGAACTATTTAATTTAAAAATTAACAATTACTTCACTGTAAACTAGACAAAATTTACTTCAAATGAAGATAGAGTTTGTCATTGTAAAATTATTTATTTAAAGATGACTTTAGAGCGGCTTCTTTCTTCTTCTTTATAAAGTTCTTTATAAATTAAACATGGTACTTTAATCAACTTATAGACTTATATATTCCCTCTCATAAAACGACTTTCATCAGCAAATCCTTCATCATTCGTGCTACCTCCTTTTGGAACTATCTACTTAACTCCATACGTCGATTCTCGTTCACAAATTCCTTCAAACAACTCCTATTTACCACCTAATCCATGTTCAAACCTCCTCAAACATTTAAAATTTACTTGTGACCGTACAAAGTCTAATTCTATTCTATTTTTAAGTATAATTCAAAATAAATGTTTTAATTCATTTATTAAATCATCCAAAAACTTGTTTACATCATAACTAATAAAAACATATGTTCTTTTTAAAATAATATGATTTAGACAACAAATAGAAAACCTGAACTAATTTATCCTCCCCTAAAACACCCAAAATATAAGATTTAGAATATGCTACAATTAAATTGTAACAGGAAACATGAACTAATTTACACTCCTCTAAAACACCCAAAACATAAGAATTTTAATATGCTAAAAATTCAGTCAACTGCATAATTGCAATAACAATCAACAGTTAATAAGTTAATAACAGTTAATTTTATATTAACCTAAGACAGGCTAATGTTCTTAGTTATGTAACTCTGTTATTACTCTTAGGGATGTATTTCTTTAATACAGTTGTAAATCATTAAGAATTTAAAAAAAGAAGAAAATTCTTAAGGGTCTGTTGTCCCAGAATAAAATTATTTTTTCATTTCTT